CTTGACTTTCATACTACACTTATCCAGAGGGTTGGAAGTACCTCTTACCTCTTGGTTTTCATTTTCAGAGTCTTCTTTTTAAAATTAATTCCAGATGATTCCTAAGGAATGTCTTTCTTGTCTTCTTTCTCTTTCATGGATTTTGAAAAATTCAAACAGAACCATTATTTTCAACTTGGGAGTTATTGTGTAGAAAAGGAAGTCTGAAATCTGTTTTATCTATTTTTTACAAGCACATGATATTCCATATCAGAAAACTATGAAGCAATTCACAAGAAGGAACAGAAGAAGTAAAAAGTGTGAAGTAGCAGTTATGATGAGGCTGCTGTATTTCTAACACTACAGAGGTGGAGACAGGAGGACCAGGAGGCCAAGTCCATTTGCAGCTATATAGCAGTGGAGGTCAGCCTGGACAACAAGAAACCCTGTCACAAAACAGAAACAAACAAACAAAAATGCCCAAACAAAACCAACCCCAAAAACCTTGAGATTTAAGAACTAGACATTTTGTAGGAGGAGGGTGAGAAAGTTGTACTGGGTGTGCATGTGAGCTCTCCTGCAAGGAGCTCACATTAAATCTGGATGTTGGGAAGTAACTCTCCTACCTGGGGTATTATGTCTTGATATTAATGTTGCAGACAGTGAAAGGAGAGATCATTTCAAGATGTTATAATTTGATGAGTAGTAATAGCAATTATTATAAGATTATGTCTGTCCATATAATAATCAGTAGCAGCAACTAGTCAATATATGCTAAATATTTTGCATGTTATGTCTCTTAATTCTTTTTTTTTTTCCGAGGCAGGGTTTCTCTGTGTAGCTTTGGAACCTATCCTGGCACTCACTCTGGAGACCAGATTGGCCTCAACCTCACAGAGATCCGCCTGCCTCTGCCTCCCGAGTGCTGGGATTAAAGACGTGCGCCACCAACGCCCGGCTTGTCTCTTAATTCTTACAGTGACACTTAGACAGCATCACAAACCTAGTAAGAAAATGAGAAAACAGAGTACACAGCTCATGAACACTAGAGACCAGTATATTTGTGTTGATGGAAAGTTTTCTGGCTTGGCAAGGTCCCATTGCCGTGGAACCCCAAATAAATGCATGGGCGCTATATTACTTGTAAAACTGTTGGCTGGTGGCTAGGGCTTCTTATTGGTTAGCTCCAACTTAATTATTAACCCATAACGATCAACCTACATATTTCTACATGGCCTTATCTTACTGGAGAACTCCTGGTGCATCCTACCCACCAGGCTTCCACATGGCAACTGTTTCTGCCTACCTTTCCCAGAATTCCTGTCCTTTCCTACTCCCATCTACCTTCCTGCCTTATTGGCCAATAGTGTTTTATTCATTAACCAATAAGAGAAACATATACACAGATGGACAACCCCCATCACATTTGATTTCAGAAGTGGGATTTATTTACTGTACTTCTGAGACCTGACACAAAAATTGAAAGTGAGCTGAGGCTGAAGTATGCATGATGGGTAAGCAATATAAATTAGCTTTTAATGTGCAGCTGTGAACAACTGTAGGGAAAAGGGGGCCGAGAGAGCAATGTGCACAACTGCAACAGTGTGGGCAACAGATGGCAGGTTAGGGTTAGCCGCTGGGCTATTGCATGGTGCTTAAGGAAACAAAACAAAACAAAACAAAACAAAACAAAAACAGTTGTAACAGAGTACAAGCACACCCCTCACACATCCACACCTGTGCACACACTACTTCTCACTTCTGCTCATTAGAGTATTTCCCAGCTGTTCTTTCTTAACAATTAGGAAGTCTTTTACCATGTTAAGAGAAGAAGGGACTGGGTCCCTGTTTAGGTCTGTGTTTTGAAGGGAGCTTATTTTCCTGAGAGCATGGCAGTGAGCCTATTACAGCCACTAAAGCACTTCAGGTTCTGTGATATTCAGAAACACAATGCCTGAGTCCTTTGAGATGTAATTATAGAAACAAATTTCTTGGCTCGGTACGTTGTCTGTGAATGACTGACATTATCTTGTATGTGCACTGGAGTGTCTGCAGATGCTAACTGTCCCGGTTTACTTATTTATTTACTTTTAAATTGCTTACAGTTATTTACTTATGGGGGGCAGTGACCAGATGAAGCATGAACATGAAAGTCAGAGATCAGGTTGAAGGCATTTATTCTCTCCTTCCTCCTCATGTGGGTTCTGAAATTGAAGTCAGTTCAGCAAGGGAGGAAGCACACATATTTGCTCAGCTATCTTGCCAGCCCTTATTTATTTATTTATTTATTTATTTATTTAGAGACAGGGTCTTATGTAATCTAGTCTGGACTTGAGCTTTAGATTTCTACCTGAGGTTGACCCTGAACTTTTGATCCTTCTGTGCCTAGTTCCAAAGTCCTGGGATTACAAGTAGTGTCACCATGCCCTGATTATAAGGTGTTGGGATTGAATACTGTGCTCACGCTTGCACTCACTCTACCAGCTGATCTGCACCCTAGACTCCTTGGTAGTGGTTTATTAACCATTTTTATTTTAAGGCTCTGCCTGTGGCTTGGAGATAGAATGCTTTCCTAGTATGAACATGGCTCTGGTTTCTATTTCCAGCAACACACATACATACACACAAAAAATATAAGAATCCCCTTGTGGTTATCAGAAAGAATTCTGGCTGGAACAGCCACTTGCAATCACTTTCAATGATGACTCTCACACTCTCTGGAGGATACTCTGAGCTGAGCATGAAGGATGAGCTCAGCTTCATAGATTAGGAAGTGGAACCTTCAGTGGCTTGAGATAAGTTGACTGTAGGAATCTGATTCTTGACCTGAGTTCTTTCTGCTATTAGACAAGGATAATACATTAGCCCTGTTTTGTTCAACTTGGCTGTCTCCCAGACTGGGACAGATAATGCCCTTAACAAACACCAGAAGAACGCAGTAAACTCTAACACTCCACCCTGACTGTAGGTCAGGAGAGAAATTGTGATGCCTCATTGAAATAGATAGATAAAAAAGTATATCTGATCCTATTTTAAAATAATTTTTTGAGACAGGGTCTCACTATGTAGACTGGACCAGCCATGAACACATAGAGATCCTCTTGCTTCTGCCTCCCAAATTCTGGGGTTATAAGCATATGCCTAAATGTATATTCAAAAATTACTAATTAAGCTGGGCATGGTAGAGCACACTTGCAGTCCAGGCCCTCAGGAGGCAGAGGCAGGTGAATCTCTGTGAGTTTGTGGCCAGTATAGTCTACATAATGAGTTTCAGGCCAGCTACAGCTTCATAGTGAGGCCCTGTCTCAGACATAAAGATAAAATTACTAATTCCTATGTATTTAATTTTGACTTAACTTGTCTCCCTCCATTCTTAGCTATTTATTTATCTATCAGCATATCAGTTTTTATTATCAGAAAATCACTTTTAAAAATGTTTATTAATTGGATTTTTCATTGTGACTTTCTTCTCTGGGAAAATATTCCATCTTTGAAGTTTACAAAGTAATAAGTTACCAATCTCACATAATCTCAGAAAGATGTTTACTAAAACATATTTTGTTATCAGTGTAGTAATGATGTAAATTTTTTTGATTGTGCAAGTAATCCATTGTCTGAACTCTAGTACTTCTAACCCCTCTGTCAGCATCCCCTGGGGATCTTCCCCACTGTTGAACACTAGCATGAGGAGTCATAATCTAGGACCCTTTATCATCCTCATCCCTGGAAGCAGTGGGGAATGAGCAGCAGGGACACTATTTTCACAAAGCTCATATGAAGTGCATTGATGCAGGCAGGTGTGAGGACCACTGACCTGCTGGAGCCCTGAGTGTCTACAACTCAACCTTGGAAGCCTTCAATCATGCCAGTCCCTCATTCACAACTGCTTACATAGCTTGGAGAGATGCCTGACCTAGTTTTCTTACATCCTTACCCCTGTCTCTTCCTGGAGACACTCACTCTGGTCCTGCCTGGATTATTCTGTGCTCCCCTCCCTTTGATCTGTGTTCACTCAAAGTGCACTTTCAACCCTCCCATGCTGTCCAGTTTTCTTCTCTGCTGATGCTTGACTCCCCTCCTCCTTCAGCCTCCACAACAGCTCCTTGTTCTCCTGTTTCCCTCTTTGCTCCTTCTTAAGGTCTTTGTTCATTTCCTCCTTGGGTGTAATTCACTTCTTTATGTTTCCTAAATGTTTAGACACTTGCATCATGTACAAGTCTCTCTTTTCTTCCTGATTTCCTTTCATTTTTTTCTCTCTCTTTCCCCTCTACTTCCAAGACTTCAGTATTATTGAACAGATCCTAGGACTGGAGAGATGGATCAGAAGTTAAGAGAGTTGGCTGCTCTTCCAGAGAATCTGGGTTCAATTCTTTGCACACACATGGTGGCTCACAATCATTTGTAACTCCAGTTCCTGATGTGGGAGGTCCTTCTGTGTATATGTTTGTCTTATTGGTTGATAAATAAAGTACTGTTGGCCAATAGGGAAGCAAGTTAGGCAGGGCTAGGAGAGAAGGAGGTTTCTGGGAAATGTAGGAAAGGAGAAAGACGCCATGTGATCCCAGGAAGAGAGGATGCATAAGGCCGGCGTCCTCCGTAAGATAAGTCCTTATAAAATATATAGATTAGTAGTTATGGTTGATAATTAAGACTGAGATAGGAAATAAGAGATCCTAGTCATCGTTGGCCCAGCAGCGTTGTAACTAATATGACTCCATGTGTTATTTGGGGGCCCTAAAGTGGCGGCAGAACCCAGGCAGCTGGCGGAAGGAGTTATCATTACATGTTCCAAAGGATCTGATTCCCTCTTCTGCCTGCATGTATGCACAAACATAGATGCAGGCTATAGCCCCATACACATAGAATTAAAAAAAAATAAAACAAAAAACTAAGCTCCTGAAGATTCATTTTCAGCCCAGATGTCTACCGGACATTTCAAATCAAAATGTCAAATCTGATTAATAAACCTGTAGTATTATTTGTCTTTCGTTTGTCATTCTCCCTTGCTCTTCCCACAGCTCCTGTGGGCTGCTGTTTTTTTTTTTTTTAACATCTCCAGTTTTTATTTTTACTGTCAATATTGTAACCCTGGAGCCCATTGTGAAACAATTGGTTTCTCATGTTCCTTCTTACCTCTGACTTACTATTCAATGCTTAGCAAAGTAACATTATTTTTTCCTTTTAAGTTTGAAAGAATCACCTGGTCACATGGCAGAGGCAAGGAGGGATAACCCGTTTTCACCTGAGTCTGACCCTTTTGTCACCAATTCATTTCCTGCTGGTCTGTGTTTCTCCACTGCCCACAGAAGAGAAAGAGGTGTGGTTCCCTAATTCCTGGAGGAGGAAGAAAAGGACTGTCAAGGTCAGACGCTGCTGTGTCACTGGAGGCTACAGGAGTCACCCGCCAAACCAGAGTGCGAACTGCAAACCTCTGTTATCACAGAGCCAAGGCAGTGCTGACTCCACCTCTCCCAGGCTGTAGACAGCTCACAGATACTACTGAACCACACTCAGGAGGGGACACACTCTGCCTTGGCTCCCAACTCTGCAGACGGAGGTAGTAATGTCCTCCCAGGGAGACACTTTTAATCTGGCCTGGTATTTACTGTTGTTTACCTGGGAGTGTGCTCTGTGTACAGAATCTTTACTGGGCCACACCCCACATGATACTGTACTTAGGTAAAGGTAGCTGAGTGGACTTCCTGATTGTTGGCGTGGCCAGAGAGAGAGAGAGAGAGAGAGAGAGAGAGAGAGAGAGAGAGAGAGAGAGAGAGAGAACACAGCAGAGAGGAGGAGAGTGGTATGCACATGCATGGTCCTCCTGTCTCTCTTCTTAACCTTAGCTTGAATCTTTCTGTCTGCCAGAGAGATGGAGAACAGATGAGAAGAGTGACCAGAAGTTAAAAAAAAAAAGTTCTCTTTTATGGAGGAAACTGTGAGGAGATTGTGCACACGTGTGTGTGTGTGTGTGTGTGTGTGTGTGTGTGTGTGTTGGTGTGTGTGTGTGTTTTGATACAAGGGCTCTGTGTGTAGTCCTGGTTGTTCTGGAACTCACTGTATAGACCAAGCTAGCCTGGCCTCAAACTCACACAGATACACCTGCCTCTGCCTCTGCCTCCTGAGTTCTGGGAACAGAAGTGTGCACTATCACAACCAGCTGTGAGGAGAGTTTTAAAGATTCCGAAGCACCTGATTAGTAGGTAAAGCCCAGTGGGGTGAATCCAGGAGGGGGAACCAAGCCTTGGAAGTGCAATGTGATGAAGAATAACGCGAACAAAGCTACTGCAGGAAGGCTCCAACAGCCGCTGCAGGCTTCAGGTGTGCCGTCTAATGAGGAAAAAGAAGCCACACCTGGAGCTGAGGTGGCTGTTTGGGGTGGGCAGCAGTTGTGTGCTCCCGTCTTTTCCTTCTTTGGGGAGCTCTTTTGTAAATGAGGGAAACCGAGGACTTCTGAAAACTGTTAGTGAGTAACCCCCAAAGGAGAATGACCAGTGAGAAAATATTTCAGATACTTTATTTCTGAGCTTTTAAGGTTTCACAGTAGTAGATGACGGTTCATGGAAGCTATATACAAACATATGTTGCAACTGTCAAATGAGGCTCAAAATCAAGAGCTGCACCACTGCAAGAGTCCCTTGATTCCAATGCATGCTTTTTGCTATTGTGGCACTAACTGTGGCCTAACAATTTACATTCTTAATATTTTTGCAGTCCGTATAAGAGAAGCTATATCATGCTACAATTTTTTTTAACAAGATGAGAAAGTTGTGTACATATTAATATAGTATTGTTATAAGTATGTTCTTAATATATTACATAGTTATCATTTCAATTATATTATTAATCCATTAATATTCTTCTCAGGCACCTGTAGGTAGATGCCACACGGGATTTAAGGAATTAGCCTATTATGGACTATAGGACTTAGGACTCCAACACTTAACTATTATGCCTATTTATTGGTATGATGAATTAATTTCATATATTTGTTATATAAGTATAAATGTTGGCTATAGGATTCTTCTAGAAGAGCCAGATTAAGCTCTGAGAAGAACCATCCCAGAGGATCAGGCATAACGGCATGCCTTTTCTCAGCTTGATGCAGACAGCCATTTGCTAATCAATAACTAATTTCAGGGGAAAAGTGGCATAGCAAGTAATCTTGCTGTGACAAACAAATGTGAATATCTTCTGATGTACGAGTTTAGAGGAACATCTGGGTGGCAAGGTTTCCTGTATATTTTATTGCTGTCAGGATATGCCTAGTAAGTTTGCCTGGGGTGCAAATTTTAAAAATCCCGGGGTCATCTGTTATATGCCACATGTGTTTTGGCAAACTGTAACCATTGGAAATTATTGTACAATTATCTTCCTTTTCTTTCTTTCTTTGCAAACATTTTTCTCTTTTGTGTGTGTGTGTGTGTGTGTGTGTGTGTGTGTGTGTGCATAAACACAGACACAAACATTTGCCATGGTGCCTGTGTGGAAGTCAGGGGGCAAATTTTGGGCATTCTCATTTCTGCCACGTGGGTCATGGGGATTGAACTCATGCCATCAATCCAGCCCATGTGGATATCTCGGAGGCAGCTCCACAGAGTGCATTTGCTTTGCACGCTAGTGTCCACTTTCATTTGGCGGCTGGTTATTAAAAATCCTAGTTTCCTTAAACTACCAGAGACAAGGAGAAGCCGTGGTGAGAGCCTGACTCAGGAAGTTTTAAGTGATGTCTGTGGTGTCTCAAGGCCTCGGGGAAGAAGGGTGGGTTTGGGTCACTGAGGGAAGGTGAGCTTGGCTATAGCCAGTTCAGGGTAGGGTCTGTGTACAACAGTCTTCAGGTTACTTCCTTATGTGCTAGTGGAGTGTAGTTTGGCTTTTGGGCAGAGCTCACAGTCTGAGCTGGCTGCTGACTGACTCTTTTTTTCCATTTGTACTGTGTAGAGAGATTGTGTTCCTAGCACCTACTCCCCGGAGAGCCAAACTCGTTCAACTGGCTGCTCCCTGAACAAAAATAATTACTTACATCTGATAAGATCCCGAAAAGGAAGCAAGAGGAAATGAAAACAAGAATACCTACAGCCTTGCTACATTTTCAAGCAGATTGTGAGCACCCAACTCAGCTGGGTTGGTTTCAGGACCTTTCCTTTGCTCCCGGCCCCATGGTCTCCGAAGGGCGGAAGCTTTCTGACCTTATTTGTCTTTGCTTGTTTGGTTCACCATCTACACGAGGTAGAGTTTGATGACTTCATAGATTCCTTGCTGCGTTGTATACAAACTCACAGACAAAAAATTCTGCCCCCCCCATTTCCCTCTCCCTCTTTCTGTTTCTCTCTTTGTTTTTTTGAGACAGAGTCTCTTTATGTACTCCTGACTGTCCTGAAACTCACTATATAAGCAGGGTGGCCTCCAACTCAAAAGATCCTCCTGCCTCTGCCTCCCCAGTGTTGTCCTGATGTGATGCTAAATCGTCTGTCAGCCTTCCTAGGCCTCCTATGGTTACACACTGAGTTTTAGTGTTGATGCTAACCATCAAAGTGCTACTTATTGAAGCACAGATGCTCTGTCCAAAAATCATAAGCAAAGAAATCTCCCCACTCCAGCCTCACACCCTTTCAATTTTCATTATTCCATGAATACATATTGTAGCTCACAATTAAACAAGTCAGAAGGCAGACGGGTGTGTGGCCAGCTAATCAGAGGGGAGCAGGTGGTGAAAAGTTGCATACAAGAGAGAAAAATGGACTGGGCAATTCCAACTGCACTTCTGGTTTTACTTTTATCAAATCACTACCAAAAGAGACCACCTGAGATTACTTAGGTGTTTTGTTTCAGGTTTTGTAGTCACAATTGAAGCAGTAGCTTCCCTGCCTCTGGAGCCACCTCATCTCTGAGCAAGGGCAAAGGGTAGGTTGCTAGACACACGGAAGAGTGGGAAGCATCAGAAAGAAACAGGTCTGTGGACGTCACTTAAAAGATGTGTGGGTTATGTGGAGTTGCTGAAGGTGGTTAGACAAAGAACCCGCTTAGCCATAGCAGCTGTGCCTGTGAGCAGTAGCACTAGGTCAGGTGCTCCCGGCAGTCCTCTGTGATGAGAGAAGGGCTCCCTGGCCCCCACCACATACTGCTGATCGATTGTCAATGAATAGATTTAGCAGAGTGGGAAGCAAAGCATCCAGTTGTGTATATACCCATTGGCAATTCAGGGTCACACAGATAGCCCTAGTTAAACCCGTGAGACACTAAAGCAACAACACTATCAAAACAAAGCAATAAACTAGTAAATAAAGGAAAGAGATTTCTAAGGAAGATAGGGTGCTGGCAGGGGAGGTAGGAAAATAAGACGGTTTGTGTGTGTGTGTGTGTGTGTGTGTGTGTGTGTGTGTGTTGTGGGAGAGAACCAGAATGTATTATATACTTGTATGGAACTTTCAAAGAACAAATATATTAATAATAAAACGAATTTCCAACGGTAAACAACAAATTAGTAATCTATTTGGAAAATTGCTAATTGGCGTGTGAAACATCTTTATACTATAACATTTTATTTTTGTGAGTACCTGCATGCCACCCATTAGTGTGGAAGATGTCCTCTGGTGTCAGGCTTTGCCTTCCAGACTCTGTTTGTTGTTTTTCCTGCAGTGTGTACCAGGTTCCATGGCATGCAAGCTTTAGGGACTCTCCTTTCTCTGCCTCTCATCTAGGAGTGCTGTGGTTTCAGATACACAAGTTCCAGGGATTCAAACTCAGGTCCTCAGGCTCTCAGGGCTAGCACGTTACATACTGAGTCAATTCCTCAGCTCTACATTTGAAATACATGTATGCATAGATGCATTTCCTTTTTATTTCTGTCACTATTATTTATAGACCATAATGACACCTTCTATAGTCTATGACCTGATGTGGGTTTGTTTGACAACCAGTGGGTGTAGAGGAGGTCTACACAAGCTTTGAGCATTGAGGGATTCAATATCTTTCATTGATAAATGCTGTCTGCTTATTTGTTCTTTCAGGTGTTTCAGAATAGGCAAGCCAAAGCATAAATCCTTTCTTTTGACATTTGCCAAATATTCATTCATTGTCCACGTAAAGGTGGAACACAATGTTATGTGTAAGAAGGTGTGACATGAAGCCGAAAGGAATTTAACATGCTTCCAGGCTGTACTGGGGGTCAGGATGGTGCTGTGGGTCCCTACTTCAGCATGGTCACAGACGTACAGGGTGCCTTAAAAGGAATTTCAGTAGCAATGAAATGAAGGGATCGAGGCTGCAAAGCTGTATCAGAGAGAAAGGAAAATGCTTCAGGAGAAAAAGGGTGTTCCTTCAGCCCAAATGCCAGACAGAAGAGCAGAGAGAAGTAGGAGGCTTAGAAAGGGCACCATGTGCTTAGTTGCTAGAGATTCTTTGGTGTATTTAAATTTTCTACATGTGCTCTTTTTGTTTTCCTAGAATAACACACACAGTCCTTGGAAACAACGCATCACTGTGGCTGTTCTCTGTGCACACCCTGTGGGCCTTGTAGAGGAGGCTGGCCCTGTGGTGATGGGAGAGAAGGGTCGCCTAAGCCGGGTGCTGTTGGAGTGCAGTCTCAGTGACAAGCTGTGTGGTAAGAGCAGACACCACAACTCCCTGTGATCTGACGCTATAGCAATAGACTGAGTTCTGGATGGTTCTGGAGGAGGAGAGCTGATTTTATTTCTAGCAAGCATCACTTTTTTTTTGCAGTGGGGGCTACAAGCCAGTCAGAGATCAGAATAGAAGAACTCATTGGTCTAAGATGCAGGGTTGCCCTCCATGGGCCTCCATTGAAGGGGACCAGGGGATACGAGGAGCACTGAGATATGATGGGTAGGGGAAATTTGCAGGCTTCTTATTTCTCTTTCTGTTTATGGCTTAAACAGTTGTTCAGGAGCAACAGTATGAAGTCATCATTGTTCCAGCTCTCCTGGTTGGTGGCTTCCTCATCCTTCTTGCAATCATCCTATGGCTATTTATCAGAGGACAGAGATCTCAAAGGCAGCGCCCTGGACCTCGGAGTAAGTCTCAAACCCTGTGGATAGGTACAGACTCAGACAAGATGGATTTTAAGGAAACTGTAGGCCAAGATTTCAGTAGGTCCAATCCATAATCAGATCTTACAAACTATAAATGCAAGCCATTTGCTTCTTGAACTCCCAATGATTTTCTCTATAATTGCCTTTAATACTACATTGATCTAGTTCCACCTTGCCAACGCAAAATGATTCATGAGTGCCTTGATTGGCCTCAGTTCATATTGTTTAAGACCCTCCAATAGCTTGTTGTGTTCTACAGAATGGAAAATAGCAAGGGTCTTCCCATGGCCTGTATGATCTGGACTCTCTGGCCTCCCACATCTCTCTACCCACCCAACTTGGCTTCCATCTGCAAGGCCTTCCTTGCTTCTCCTTGAACACCCCATGTGCACTCTTCTCTTGGTGCCTTCATTCATCTTGTTCCATCTACTACAGTGTCATCCTGGTTTGCTCTGTAAATGCTTCTAGATCTTTATTAAACACCGCCATATCTGAAAGGCCTTTCTTTGACTTCTATAGATAAAGTAGGATCTCCTTTGGCTATTTTCTTCCATAATACTGCCTCATCCATTCTTTTTTTTGCCTCATCCATTCATAATGTCCTATGATTAGAAACTAATCTTAGGCAGATATGAACTGTGCCTATCCTCAACTCACAGACAGTGTATGGTATACGGTGATACTGAACAGACAGACTGGTTAAGAAATGATTGGAAATTTAAGAAAGAAACTTTTTTTTTTTTTGGCCAACTGGAAAGGTAGCTACAGATGGGAGCTAGTCTCAGGAGACCTTTTGACTAAGAGTCATGGAAATATGGAAATATAGAATGATTTCACCTGAAGAAAGAAAAGCTACAGCTGACGGTTGAGTGTCTACCTATACCCCTCCTTCAATCTTGAAAGTCATGTGACTGACTTAAGACAGTGACACTACCTTTTGGTACCTATGGTATGAATTCCTTTTCAGAACTGTCCTGCCTCTGTGCTACATCCATGGGGGCACTGAAGGTAATCCCAAGGATGATAAAAAAGAAACACGACCAATTTCGAGGGCTTCATCTTTAGTTTTCCTACAAGTAATGGAATTCTTGTGACTGTTGTAGGAGCTCAGTGTTGACACTCATTCACTGAGAAGTACCAGAAGATGCCCTTGTGTTAGTCACTGAAAAATCTGACTGATTAGTTTGTTAAGTCTGCCTTTCCAGTGTCCCCAGGGCAGGGGACAGATGGTGGACATCATCTCTTTGTTCTAGGTACTGCCTCTGCAGCTGCATCTAGTGACCTAAGGCAGGAGGGAGCAGGTCAAGGAGAAAAAGTGCTCCTGCCACTTAAGGAGACCTCCTCTGTGGAGAGTTTTCTACAAGCAGCCACACCTCAGTTGGCTAAGCTTCAGGTGCCCAGGGAACAACTCTCAGATGTTCTGGGAAAGATCCACAGTGGCAGTTGTGGGACCCTCTATCACGCCATGATGACCACCAGAGGCGACCCCAAGCCAAAGAGTGTTGTCCTCAAGGTTTTAGAAGGTAAAGTACGAAGATCAACTCCTATCCTTTTTACTTCTCTGCTCTGAGCCTGTACCTGGAAATAATAGTAACAGGAACTGCAAACATTAAGATATGTATGTATCAGCAGATACGCTTATTGTGTACAGGGAAGCTTGATGCAGAGTTGTTCTCCTTGGGTCTTTAGATCTCTACCTAACCCTTGCCAACTGATGCCAGTAAAGTGGACCTTTCCATAGTGGATGCTACTTTGCTGTTTGTCATAGGATTATGAGATTTTTTTTTAATGTCTGATTTCTTTTTAAATTAATTTAGTGTGTGTGTATGTGTGTGTGTGTGTGTGTGTGTGTGTGTGTACATGGTATGTATGTGTGAGTGCAGGTGTGTGCTGCACAAGTGTGAGGTCAGAAGTTAACTTTCTGGTGTTGGTTCTTTCCTTCCATTTTGGGTTCCAGTGACTGAAAAGTCATCAGGCTTCTATGTCACCAGTCACTGGCTTTCACCATCTCTCAGGTCCTTACACCCTTCCTTGATATTGTGTCTCTTTCCTTTCTTCCTCTTTCTCTCTGGATGCATAGAAAATAAAACAAGGAAGGGCTAACATAAACAAAAGTGTCCATGCCAAGGTCCAGACAGTGATGTAATGCAAAGCACTGTCTATTCAGGCAGGTGAAAATCTGTCCAGGTCTAAGACCCTTGACTGTATTATTTCTGTGAAAGCATCGTTGACTGAGTATCACTCTCTTTTACATGGTCTCCCTTCTGCCCCCTTTCTAGCTGCATTTCTTCACTTTTGGTCCCTCTCTCACAAGGGGACTTGAACAACACCATCTGTACATGCCCTTTGCTCCTTGCCTCCCACTCATTGGCTGCACTTGACCATTCACTGACCTGGCTCTGGTTCTTCTGTTTTTCATAGAACCTACTGGACTCCAGGAGGTCCAGGATTTCATAGGGCGAATCCAATTCTATCAATACCTGGGGAAACAGAAGAACCTGGTACAGCTGGAAGGATGCTGCACAGAAAGGCTGCCCCTGTACATGGTGCTGGAGGATGTGGTCCCCGGAGATCTGCTCAGCTTTCTCTGGACCTGTCGCAGGGTGAGCAGTAGGGAGGCTGCACTAGCAGGGAAAAGCTTTGGTTAACTTTTCATACACCAATTAACACACAAATGACAAAATATGCAGACAATTTATGGGTGAAAACTTTTGAATAGCACAATGGCAATATAAGTGTGAAATAATTGTCACATAGCTAGCAGCTATGGATATGGCTCAGGTGGTACAAAGTTTGTCTAGCAAAAAGGTGCAAAAGGTGCAATGTTTGATCCCCACCATAGCATAAAACTGTGTGTGGTGGCACATACTTATAATTCCAGCACCAGGAGAGATCTTGAGTTCAAGGTCATTCTCAACTATGCATCCATTTTGAAGCCACCCTCAGGTACATGAGACGCTAACAAAATAAAAATTCCATGTCTGTTCTGTGCACAATTAGCCACACATGACATGTTCCAGGAGCTCAGATGACATTTTCTGGTCTCCAAGGACACCCAAAATGCATGTGCTGCATATACACACATGCAGACAAACATACACACACATAAAAGAAACATAAATACATCTTAGTGTTTTTTTTTCCTTTCTCTCTCCTCTGTGCATGTGGTGGGGGAGCACATAGAAGTCAGAGGACAACTTATGGGAGCCAATTCTGTGGATCTTGGGGTGGAACTCAGGTCATCAGGCTTGGTGACAAGTACCTGCACCCTTTGGCCATCTATCTCTCCAGCCCCATCTCTTTGAGCCTTAATTCCTGAGTTTTTGTGGTGTCCTTAGCTTTGATATATGCACTTCAGAGTTTCTCTGCCACAATTTTAGAAAGAAACTATGTGTAAGTCACTTTTACATAATATATTTCATTTCTCCATCTCTTTAGGATGTGATGACCATGGATGGCCTGCTTTACGACCTCACAGAAAAACAAATATATCACATCGGAAAGCAGGTCCTTCTGGCCCTGGTAAGATCAGCATCAGTGGAAACGTAGGATTTTCTTATCAGCCTAGCATTGATGCTGTATTTCCCACACTGATAATTCTGAATGGGGTATATATTTTAAAGATAGTTAGATAAAGCTAGGGCAGACTGTTCACCAACAGTTTGTTTCACAGTCCCCTATTTATGAAGTTATTTAGGTAACACAATACAGTATAAAGCATTCCAGGCAGAAGACAGTCAATTTAGGATTGATACAGTAAACTAGATATATGTGAAAGTGTACTTAGCTTAAGTTTCCAAAGCCAGGGTCAAGATTAATTTGGTATTTGGATCTGTGTACATGTGAAAGAGAAAACAAGGGAAGCAAGATGGAAGAGATTTGAGGGAAGAAAGAAAATCAGTGGAAAGATGAAGGCTACAGATTTATATTTGAAAAACAAGACAGACTAGCTCAGACTGTGTTTGGTGGGAGACTTGCTTTGGTAATGGAATATGAATATGAATATATATATATATATATATATATATATATATATATAAAAAATAAGGAACAGGGGAAAGAGAAAAAAAGAACAGGAAAGGCCAACTGCTCTTTTATTTTTAAATCAACTTAAAGAGGTTTAAACAATTTAGGGTTTCAGAAAAAAATTACCTTTATCAAAATTACTCAGGAAGTTTATATAACTATGTATGTGAAATTATTTGGATAGATTTCAAATGGATATTTTCTATGAAAAAAATCAAGGCTCTGTGAAACTTGGTTGAATTTTGCTACCACAATATGTGAAATGGATCAGGGTCTAAAGGGGCTCTTTTGTGTGTGTGTAGTGGTGATAGTGTAGGGAATTGAACTTGTGTCTTTTGCACAGCAAGAGCTGCATGCTTGGCCCACCAGGTATCTAAATGAAATTAGGAAAAATATAGTAAAAAGGATGCAAGAAAAGAGAAACAGTCTGGTTGGCACCCTCATCGGATGGGGAGAGAAGCCATCGCACAGCAGTTAGTGTGGCTAAGCTGTGAGCTTCAGCCTACCTTGCCTCCTGAATCATAAGCACAGACCTGTCTATCCTACAGGGGTGCCCTGATCAACCTGGTGTATCTATCAGGCACTTGTATCACCTGTCACCAGGCAAGGCTATGGTTTTTGTTGTTACCTTTAATGACTTTAAATTTAGTGCATTCTTCAATTCTTCTCATTATAGGATAATTTTTTTATACATTCCTTAATACTATTCATTGTAATTAATTCCTTCATTCTAAAAACTCCCAAGAGACAGAAAACTGCCAGGCACAGTCTCCTTCTTCATCAGTGACTGGAAACTTTCACTTTAACCCTCTAAATTTCCTTTTGCTGTCAGTGTATGGTAATCAGAGCCCCAGATCTCTGGCTTTTCAGTCACACACAGCTTGAGTGGTTTCGTGCCAGAAGAGGTGATCCAGCACACATTACCAGCCACCGTGATTGTCATCTGCTTTTCTAACCACACCGGAATCCTTTGATTCTCTGTACTACAAGTCACTGCCTCTCTCTTTCTAGGTGGTGGCTTAGTAAATCTGTGCTAAAAGTCTTAAAGCTTATTTTTACAAGTTCTCAGAGAATTTGATTTGGAGCCTGGCTTAAGAACTATTAGTGGATTGGTAGAGTTTGTAGCACTTCCTGGGTTAAGAGCCTGGCTTATGGTCACAATCACCTAATGAGTGTGTGGCCTTCTGTCTTCCTTTGGATTTTTGCCTTAATGATACTTCCTTAACTTCATCTAGTTCAAAGGACAGAATGAGATGACTTGAACCTTGGTATACATTTATGACACGGCAGTCAGCTTTTCTGTATGCTTTGCTTTCTGTTCCAGAAGCAACCTGAGTACCATCTGAAGGGAAAGCACGATCAGGAGGGTTAGGGTTGACACACCTCATGCGATTATACTCTCAGAGTGCAGGGTTAGGACGGGTGTGTAGCACAGTTGCAGAGTGCTCACCTAGAACACATGAAGCAGCAGGACCCATCCTTAGCACTGGAGTGAAATCCCTATGTTAGTGCCATTTGGGCCATTCACTGAGTTTGGTAATCCTAAGCATATGGTGTAAAGGTCTAATCTCCTATCCTGCTTTGGAAAGGATTTCATTGACTGATGAGAGAGTTTGGAGCGGAGAAGGCCCTTGTCTTTTGAAGGCCACCCAAGACTGTCTTATTTGTGAACTTTGACCTTCAGAATGCTGATTATCTTTGATCATATGCTGATAGGAATTCCTGCAGAATAAGAATCTGTTTCATGGGGATGTGGCCGCCAGGAACATCCTGATCCAGAATGACCTGACTGTTAAACTCTGCCGACTGGGCCTGGCTTATGAAGTCCATACCCAAGGGGCCATCTCCTCGGCTCGCATCAGGACTATCCCTCTCAAGTGGCTTGCTCCAGAACGGCTTCTCCTGAGACCTGCAAGCATCAGAGGAGATGTGTATGTTCCTCATCTTTCATTTCTTCTCTTTGAGGTCTGGTGTTTCCCCCTGAATCTGTGCTTGCAGTCAACTCTGTCTGCAAATGAGATCTCTACTTGAAATCAGACATGTTCTCAAGTGAAAATGTTTGTCATCTGCTTTCATTCATTTTTTTTAATGCTTTTTCCTGTAGTTCTTGTTAAATTAGCAGATTTATTAGGAAAGAAACACATGAAAATATTATTCAAATCAATGTTGGAGGACTTACTTTAGCAGCCTTGCCTTAACCTTTAGGTCATGGTCCCCCTTAAGAGTCAGGAAATGAAGGATTTGAAATAAAATATGTATACAGGTTTCAAGTCACCTTTTAAAAAATATTCACTTACTTATGTGCATGTGCCTGCCTGCATGAGTTTATGTGCACCATGTATGTATAAGAGTTCTTGGTAGCCCAAAGAGAGTGTCAGGTTCCCACAACTGGAGTTATAGGAGGCTGTGAGCCAACACACGTGCTAGGAGCTGGACTCAGGTCCTCTGCAGGAGGAGCAGTTAGTGCTCTTAACCACTGAGCTATCTCTCCACCCCAAGTCACTTCTTATGTGAAAATTTTTGCATGCATATTTATTTATCCGCCTTTTGAAGGAGAAAAAAATCTACATGTGTGATGGGTCTTGGACATGCAAATACAGCATGATCCTTTTGACTTAACCTCCCAAGTGGGGGGGGGGTCACACATATATGCCGCTGTATTTCTTGTACAAATAGAAGCTGTAATGATGGATAATGACTGGATGTCGCTTTGAGAAGGTTCTTAGTATAGTAAGAGACCTGAAAGTTTGTGAATATTTGTGAAACAACATGAGACTTTTATTGTTTCCTCCCTCTTTTGTGTGTGTGTGTGTGTGTGTGTGTGTGTGTGTGTTTGTGGCAGGGTTTCTTTGTGTAGGCTTAGTTGTCTTAAAGCTAGCTCTGTAGGCTGGGCTGGCCTTGAACTCACAGAGATCAGACTACCTTTGCTACCCAAGTGGTAGGATTAAAGGTGTGCACTGCCTGCCTGCAGCCCCCCTCCCCGATACCCTTTGTCTCAGTCTCTCTCCCCCTCCCCCCCATTGACTCATCTATACAATTTTGTAACAGGTTATTCACTTAACTTTTTAAAATTTCCTTGGAGTGGGGGTGGAGATGAGACAGGGTCTTTCTATATTGTCTCTGGCTATCATGGAACTCGTTATGTAGAAAAGGCACCACCACACCTGCCTCATTTTTGTTTTGTTTGAAGGACAATCTCCCTATATAGTCAGACTGTCCTTAAACTAGTGATCCTCCTTCATCAGCCTCTCAAGTGTTGGAACTACAGGTATTTAATATTATTCCAGCACATTTTCTTTTAAGCAGCATACACTTACAGACTAGTTTTAAAACATTCAACTTATGTTTAAAGATATATCTTATGTAAACATTTAAGTAGCATCTATAGCATTTAGATGATCCCTTAACTATATATACATATAAAATCAGTATAATCAAGATTGCAAAGAATTGAAATTGATCTTTGGAAATCCTATGTATCAGCTGTTCGAAGAGGCACACAAATCCGAGGCAGAATGGCTTCCTTGATGGCCACATCACAGGAGGCAGTGGGAATTTCAGCATCAGGGCAATGAGCCAGTTAGGATATTTCCACTGATGTGTCATTGATACCCGCTTTTCAACAGACCATGGGAAATTCCACTTATAAAATGTCACTCAGTTAATGATGCATGTACCTCTCAAGTCATATTGATTAGCCAAATTCCCTGTCTAAATGTCTAAAGTTTACTAATCCTCTTTCTAGGTTTGAGTAAATAGATGCACCGAGAAAACAATACTTAAATGAAGAATCCCCCTTTGCTTTGTGTTGGGTGAAGGCTAGAGTTTGAGCAGAGAGGGAAAGAAGAGATGAAAAGGAAAAAGAGGGACACTCTGTTTCAGTGAATGGGTTTGTGATTGCACACACACCCATGCTAATAACAACTGCAAACGTATATCATGAAGAAGGGACACAGACTCACTCCTCTGTTCCTTGGCCTTTTTTTTTTTTTATATAAAACACTTCAGCTCTCCTTGACTCCTTCATTTCCTTGCTGATGTTAAAGTAAGATTTCTTTAGTAAAGACAAAGGTAGAAATTAAATGGATGGCTTTGTTTCTTTTACAGCTGGTCCTTTGGGATCCTGCTTTATGAGATGGTGACTCTAGGTAAGGATGGCTTCCAGACAAGCTTGCTTATTTGGCTACAAGTTGTAGCCTTTGAGGACATGTTTTCAGGCCAGGCCAAATTGCACTGGGTTGACATGGATTCTAACCCTTTCACCCAAAGTCTACTAAAAATGATGATTTCTTTTCTTCTCTCTCCCTCTCCTAGACCGTTCTTAACTTTTTTCAGTTCTCCCTTTTTCTCCCCCCCCAAACCATACCAACTCCATAGAATGTTTTCAAACCCAAAGGATAATTCCCATAGCCATCTTATATAAATATAAGAATGTTTTCTTCAAGTTCATTAATCCATTCAATTTAGAAACTGTAGCTCCTCTGTGTTATGAAGAGTGGAAGGCAGGTCTTATTTCATGTTTTGTCATGCTTTATTACTGTCCTTAAAACCCAGGAACTCCTAATATTACCTTTCTTCTCCAAAACACCATTTCTGAAATCTATTGCATTCTTACACAATTGGCAGGGAGCAACTATACTGTACACCATAGCTCCCTGTGATTACGGTTTAAAGGCCACGGTCTCAGGTCAATGGATATTGGAGCTATTTTCACCTCATATTTAGAAGGTCTCTTGTTTCTCTCATGTTTTTCACATTGACAGGGGCACCACCATACCCTGAAGTCCCCCCCACTAGCATTCTACAGTATCTCCAGAGAGGGAAAATCATGAAGAGACCCAGCAGCTGCACACATGCAATGTAAGTGACTCTTAAAGGCTTGAGTTTCTGTAACTGCAAATCATGTTTTGGTCCCTATTAGCCACACCCTTTTCAGAGTGCCTCAGATGATGGCTAGTTGTCCTTATTTGCTAATGCACAGCCTTAAATGAAGCATGAGGCAAAACAAAAGCAGTTCTGCTCAGCAACTGTATCCGTCACTTTTCTAATTGTTGTGACAAAATACCCAACAGAAACTACTTTAGGGAAGAAAGGTTGACCTTATCTCACAGTTCCATTACGGTGGGGAAGGCAGAGCAGAGGTGCTCAGCCTGAGGCTGTGGGAGCATGCAGACAGCTTGTTCACATGCTTGTGGACAGGCAGGCAGTGGAAAAAGGCTGGAATTAAGGTGGCTAGAACCTTCAAAGGCTTCCCCTAGTACCACAAGCTGTGGAATCAAGCACTTAAAACATGGGGCCCTGGGGGACAGTTTAGACTCAAGTCATAAATATGCCATATATGTATACATCATATATGCATATCTGATATACACACATATTATATATATATCACACACACATATATATTACACACATGCATGTGTGTGTGTGATATAAACATCCTTCAATACAATTTTGAGGCAACCACTGAGGATTCTAATTTTTGCTGTCACAAGAAGCTTCAGACAAAGTGCCTGGCCTTAAAGAACCTAACACTCTGATGGGTGGGTTTTTAATCATCTCATGTTTGAACTATCTTTTCCACCATGCAGTGCAATAAGGTAACAGACAACTTCCTCCCAGCTCTGTTACCACATTGCACTGCATGGTGGAAAAGGCAGAGCTCTTCTGTCACTTTGTAGTCTGAAAAGTCCCCAGCATTCTATTATAAAAAGCAATCATGCTGAAAGGATATTGATAGACTTGATATAAAGAGAATGCTAGAGTACCAGTCTCTAGAAATACAATGGGAGACAGATTAGGAAGATCAAAGGGCTGAGGCTTTTTATTTTGTTGTTGAAGAGGAATTATGTTCCTTTCACATTTGTCTTCATTATTCCCATCTCAGGTACAACATTATGAAAAGCTGCTGGCACTGGAGTGAGAACAGTCGCCCCTTGCCTGGAGAGCTGCTCTTGCGCCTAGAAGCTGCCTCTAGATCTGCAAATGACAAGGCTGTGTTGCAAGTGCCAGAGTTAGTGGTGCCTGAGCTGTATGCAGATGTGGCTGGCATCAGAGCAGAGAGCTTTTACTACAGCTACACCACTATCCTTTAAAGATGTCCTCAGACAAGTGACTTGGAATCAGTTTCTTCAAGAACAGAGGGAAGGAACTTTCTATGGGCCACAAAGGGAGAAAAAGGACATGGATCCCACATTTTCCCCTATACATTTTCCTGGAAATATAAAATGCTGCTGGACAAGGCTCTACCTCTACACACCATGTAGTCTTGAACTAAGACTCACCATCAATCTGTCTGCCTCCCAGTCCAGAGGACCTGGGTACAAGTGGTGGACAGTGCCATTCCCAAGGAGATTTTAAAAATCTACAATGACTGTTGGGGGATAGGGCAAAAGGGCTGGCCCCACCCATCCCAGCCTGCTTTACTACTAAAAAGTTTTTTTTTTAAATCTAAACTATTACAGAGTATAAATAATCAGATGGTATGAATGAATAGAACTCAACATAGGAACTCGTGAGAAAGAAAATTCAAGGTTCTTTTTCCTGAGAAGTGTAAGGTAAATCAAAAGCTCCCTCAAGAAGAGATCTTGTCTCTTCTACATTGAGGAGATGTAAAAATTGTTTAGTCCTAGTCCAGTCATGAAGAATTGGAGAAGAACTATAAGAAACAATACTGAGTTTTTCCTTGATTACAGATTGAACTTTTTATTGAACTCTGAGACAGGTGGACCCTGTTTGAAACTATGTTTTATAAGAAGCAGGAGTCTTTTTATGGTTATTAAGAACTTTGTTCATCACATTTGCTTGCTAGTCCTGCTAGACTAAGAAGAGTAAGTCTAAAGAACCAAAGGTAGAACTAGTGTGTGGTGTGTGTGTGGTGTGTGTGTGTGTGTGTGTGTGTGTGTGTGTGTGTGTGTGTGTGTGTGTGTAGTAGGAAGCATGGAAACCAAGCAAGAAGACTTAGTTAGTAATCTAGGTTGTCATTAGGAGGTGCCAAAGAAGAAGTAATCTGATAGAGATGGGTGGTAGCTTCTAATTTTAAACCATCCATTGAAACACTGTGAAACAACTCATTAAGTTAGTATTTATTTACTGGAAATAGATTTTCCTGATGTATAGTTACTGCAATATCTACACTAGGGAGTAGAAAATAAAACAAATGGAAATTAATTTTAATAGGAAGATTAAAGAATCTACATTGTCTAAAAAGAGATTCTTTATGTATAAAATGAGAAGACTTTCTACCTTACAGGGTGGTGTGAAGGTCATTGAGAATGTACATTTGTATAATATATGGCATATAATATGTCCTCAATAAAAACTAGTTTCTTTTCCTCCCATAACTCAGAAGATTCCATTTCATTCTTTTTTTTTCTCAACCATAACATCCACTGTGTGCAGGGAAAAGCCTGGGCTGTGATAGTAGAGGGCAGAACATGCCTAAAAGATGGTGGCATGGCACAAGCACCACATCATTAAACTGTTACCATGTTTTGTTTTCCAACATGGAGAACTGAACCCCGGGCCTTACACAGGGAAGTGACCTACACTGTTATTGAGCCATTGTGTTTGCATGAGGTTTTGGTGGATGACGGCAGTCTCCTATGATTTCAAAGTACTGTAAGAGAGGACAACTCTTGTTCACACGCTGATGTGTGACTTTGCAAGAACACCCTGATACCTTTACAATGATGAGGAGAGCTATCATAGAAAAGATGATTGGCAGCTGAAAACGGACACAACTGAATCAAGTGAAATTTTGATGTAGTCATAATGACTCAGCTAAATAATACCACAGTGAGTAGTCCGGATTTAAGTGGGCTGGAGAGAGAAAAGGGATGAGATCCAATTGTTGCCTCCCAGCTGTTAATTTGAGCCATCATACAAAGTATTTCCTTATTTGAATATTTAAAAATGTTCAGTGTGAAAGCTTGCTGTGCCAGACAGTGGAAAATATGTTGGGTAAGAAAAGTGGGAGTTTTGAATATAGTCAGGCCAGGTGTATTCATGTGTGGTCATCTGCTAATTAAAAACTCACCTTAAATGTTGTGAATGCATCCCATGGGGATAGTAGAAGGGAGTGCTGAGTGAAGACTTCTCTGAATACATGACATTTAAACTGAGACTGTGGGGGGAGGGGGGCTCAGGTAGTCATAGGAACAGTAAAACAAATTCTCCAGGAGTGGGATTTGTATGGCAATTTTATGGTAAGAAGTACCAGTGTGGGGCTGAGAAGATGGTTCAGTGGAGAAAGTGCTTGTCATGAAAGTTTGAGGAATGGAATTTGGATCCCCAGAGCCTTACCATGTAAAAGCTCAGACACCAGGATGCCATTGACAAGATGGAAGTGAAGACAGGACTCCCCAGGATGTTGCAGGTCAGCTACACCTCATACTCAGTGGTTAACCATAGAAGACCCAGATCTAAGCAAGATGGAAGGCAAGGATGAACAATCAAAGATGTCCTATGAAATTCATAAATTCCGTGGCACACACTTGACAAATTTGCCACACACTGATCACATACATACATAAACAAGAAACTATAAAAAACAAAACCATAATCATAACCAGAAAAAGAAACATGCAGGTAAATGACTGAAAAGATGTCTACAGGGCTGTAGCACATGTGTTAAAGGGGAAGAAGACACACAATGAAAGGGAGGGTGGCTCACTCTTTCTCTCCTTCTTGGGTGTGTGCCTATGGATTTTGCAGGTGGCCAGGAAGGTCAGAAGGCTGTGTTGGATTCCCTGGAGCTCGAGTTGCTGGTGGTTTTGAGTTGTCTGTCATATGTGCTAGGAACCAAACTCAGGTCCTCTGTATGTAACCTTAACTACTGAGCCATCTCTCTCCAGCTACATTTCACTGTATTAAAAGAAGAAAAGCAGGTTAATAAAACTATTAATATTTGTTGATTTTCTCAATCTCACTATAACTTACAAAATGCTTTATCATACTCAATGAAATAAGACAAACGTGTAGAAAAAAAAACACACACAGACAGTCAGAGGATAGCCTATTATTCTTAGTAGAATGTGCTTGTTTTAAGTTAAAAGTTATGTTGTGTGTTTAAGTCATATGATACTTTTGTATGTTTGCTGTACCATGTCTTTCTCTGTCCCACCAGCCAGTTCCCAAATAATGACTTGGAGTCTTATTACTAATTATGAAAGCTTGGCCTTAGCTTAGGCTTGTTTTTAACTAGCTCTTATAACTTAAATTAACCTATTTTTATTTATCTATGTTGTATCACTTACCTCCCATCCTGTACCTTCTGTGTCTCCTGGCATCTCCTTTGCATGCCTAAATTCATCCCCAGTTCCTCTCTTTGCCTGGAAGTCTTGCCTAGTATTTCTGACTAGCCATTGTCTGTTTAACTTTTTATTAAACCAATCACAGGGACATATCTTTATACTGTATAATCAAATATCCAGCAACAGCTTGCCTCCCAGCTGTTCCAGGCCTAATAATGCAATTTAAGTCTATCATATCATGGTAATCAATTATCCTGCCTGATAACCAGCAGTATAAGGGTGTCTGATGTTTCAGCCTGACTGGGATTTATTTGAGAAGTATCAATATCTAGTGGAAAAAGACTTGGCTAAAATCCACAGGGAAACCTAAAATGGAATAAAAGACAAAGGATGGATATGGGCAGAAATACATCAGCACACTTTGGCTTTTCCTTCTTAAAATGTCCCAACTTTAGTATGGTATATTAGACTGCACACTACTTTTGCTAGGCAGGTTCATTTTACTAAAGGAGAATACTCTGACATTTGAGTCTATAAATATATAAAACCAATCAAAATTACTGACACAAAATGAAAATACAAGCTTATTGCCTGTAGTGTTAATCATGATACAGTTAGACAGCATTTCTGAAAATTGAAAATGGGAATGATTTGGTCACTTTCAATAGACAAAAAGATGTAGATGGGCAGAGGAGACATTATAAAAAGAGTTCAAAAGAGGAGAATTCTATAAGCAGGGAAAGAAAGCCCAGCAGAGTATTTAAGACATTAACAGCTCTAAAGAAGAATCACTCCTAAAACAGGCAGGTGTGTGGTACACACTTGTTATACTAATACTTGGTAAGGAGTTTAAGGCTAGAATAGGTTACATAGGTGAGTTTAAGGCCAACTGGGGTACATGAAACACTGACTCAATTAAAAAAACAAAACAAAACACAACCGGAAACGAAAGAAACACAGGATTGACAAAACACTTGATTGGAAAGTAATCATCAATTCATATTGTACATTAAACCATCAGACTTTGCCTTCCATTGCAGTTGGGAATGTTCGTTTCCTACTTCAAAATGATTTCACAAGGTGCTGTGAAGCTGATCACAGCGTTGGCAAAGGCAGAAGCAGTCCTTTAGTTTCATGTAAGTGACAAAAACATTTATATTCACAAGTAAATGGTGACAATGTAATTACACCCTAATTTGGAACCTACAATAACTGAGAAAGGAAAAAACATTCACAGTATATTTTCACTGCTTCCAGTCTGATTAAGGATATCTGAAACTCTTTTTGTTTGTTTTGTTTTGAAGCAGGGTTTCTCTGTGTAACCCTAGTTATGCTGGAACTCGCTCTGGAGACCAGGCTGGCCTAGAACTCACGGAGATCCGCCTGCTTCTGCCTCCTGAGTGCTGGGATTAAAGGCATGCACCAGCACTGTCCAGCCTGAAATTCTCACATAAATATGCTAACCAACATGAGAAACACTAGCCATGTATGATAGTTAAATATTAATTTCAGTTAATCAAAATTAAGAATTCGGTTTTCCCAGTCTCACTAGCTGCACTTAAGAGCTCAGTAAACATAACACTTTCCCACACCCTTAGTGTCTACCATCTGAGAGGAGAAAACAGAGTGCTCTGTTATTTCTTAATACTGATCACAGTGCAAATGTCCTATTTTGGTACTATCTTGACTTACAATGTGAAGAGTTAGGCAAATACAGTTTTCTAGTTTATCTCAAAAACATGCAGGACCTAAGGCCACTGAAGGAGGCTTCTTGTAGAATTCAGTGGAAAGGATTATAACTGATATTTTCCCAGATGTTATAAAACACCGTGCTTACGTTTCTGTGAATTATTCTTGTAAGAATTCGGGCCCATCTAGGATTTAAAACTTAAAGTCTCTCATTCTAGAAAACTTCTCAAATCTCTGTGAGGTTTGGCGAGTCATCCTGGTTGTACGACTGAAAGGTGTGGTGATTTATGCTTCTAATGTATTTCCATAAATAGCAGCCTACCACCCTACTATGAGTAAATTTTGTAACAATTATATAACTATTAAAATGACCAAAGAGGCTGGGCAGTGTGGTGCATACCTTTAGTCCCAGCATTTGAAAAACAGAGGCCAGTGGACCTCTTTGAATTTGAGGCCAGCCTGATCTGTCTATAAAGTGAGTTCCAGGACAACCAGAGCTACACAAAGAAACTCTGTCTTGGAAAAACAAAACAAAACAAAATAAAACAATGACCAAAGAAAATCTGCCCCAACTTGCCTTGAAAAGTACTCTACTTTCTTGAGCCCTACATTCTAGTTATTTATTGATTTCAAATGTAGAAACTGCATCTTTTGGCTTTCTCTAAATACACACGTTCACACCACTCTACCTAATTTGGTCATCCTTGCCTGAAACACTGTAATGCAGCACAGTCACAGAATTTGCTCATCAAAAAGCCAATTTAAATAACACACCCTTTATAAGTCTTCTTCAATACTCCCTTCTTTAATAAACTTCTAGTTCCACCTACAATAAAAACACTTGCTTTTTTTTTTTTGGTACAGGATGCTTTATTGCATATATGCTATATGTAATACTAATTGCTTCCCTGTGCTGATGTTTGCTTTACATGTTTGCATTCTTTTTAGCCTGAAGGTGCAAATAGCTCTATTGCTGTATTACTAAAGCCCATCTGTTTTGGCACATGGGAAATACTTGTTAAAACTCAGCTTGCATAGATTTCAGAGCACATCGTATCCATGTTATTTAATTTTCTCAGTTCTGTGTTTGGCAAAGTTGATTACTGTGTATCTAGTTAGTTAATGATCAAACAGGTAGAGATACAATTAGGCGGTGACAGTGTTGAGATTGTACTTTCCCAGGATTACTGCAGAAGGCTATCAGTCACCAGATAGGATTACTCAGTGCTGGTAACAGAGAGGTGATCAGGATTCGAAACTCGGACTGTGTGCAAGCTCACTGTCATTTTGTGCTCTTCAATACCATCTCACACCATAATGCTCCTTACCTCTCCAGTTTAAGCCATTGGGAATTGTGGCCTACCCCCCCCCCCAACTGTTAATCCTTACAAATGAAGCGACTCATAAGTTCTACTTATGAAAAACTTTACCCCGATGGCTGTCTGGGCTTTTCAACTTCATGTGCTGTTTGAACACCAAACTTCCCACTAGAGCGATTCATTTTACTTTTGTCTTTAAAATTTTATTTCTTTTTCCTTTTCTTTGTTTGCTCTCTTAGTCTTAGTTTAGGCTGTTGGCTACTGGGTAACTGTGAAGCACTGTGCAAAGGCTTGTTAGGACTCAGGAAGATATTCTGGTTGCCACTGGAATGCATCTTTACTCACCTCACCAGTTACAGGAAGTAGAGCCACACCCCGCTTTACAATGTGCTTCGAGATCAGAGATACCCACAAGAAGTGCAGCTTGTAAACCTTGGCTAAAAACCCAGAAAAGCCACACCCACACCAGAGGGCAACCAGAAAGTACAAGTGGTTTACGAATGTTCCTCCCAAGCCCATTAAAGAAAAAAAAGAAAAGCTATTTGTTCATTACTAAGATAAAATGAAATTGGAAGGAAAAAGGATGAATCTGGAAATTATTATAGTAAGTGGGGGGTAACCGTGAAGTATTAAGACAGATAACCCATTCACTCTTGAACGTGGATCTTAGCTTGTGTACGTAGTTAGATGCTTTTGAGTGTTGGTTATCAAACCAGAAAGGGGACTGGGGGCTAGTTAAAGAAATGGACTGACGAGGTAACAAGGTGCATTTGACAAGACAGTGCGTGTTATGATAATGTGTGGGGAACCTTGGCAGGCGAGGGACAAACATGCCAGGCAGGCAGAGTTTAAGTGAGATTAGAAAGGGAAAGGAGGGGGGGCGGAGGAAAGAGAAAAGAGACACAGAGGCAGAGAGAGAACAGAAGAGAAGAGGGAGACAGGAAAAGTCCTGTCTGCCCCAAGGGAGCAGCGGGAAAGAGAGCCTGAAAGAGAGCATAAGAGGGCGGGGTGGGGTGGGGGTGTGTCTCTCTCTTTTAAAGGGGGTCCTTTGCACCTGCGTGCAGACTTCGCAACCACGGACCCCTGGGCTGACCCGGGTACTGCCCGAGTGCATTCTGCCAGGTGACGGGGACAGGCAAGCATAATGCCTGAGTCCTTAAAGTGCGAGCAGGAATACGCGGGCAGAAGGGCTGGAGGCAGTAGATGGAGGAGGTCACACCCAAACAATACAGAATCCAGGTCATGAAATCCGGGGACTTCAGCCTCCATCGTGCTCGTGCAAGCAACCCTTACTAAACTCGGTGAGGGCCCCCGACCCACCCGCAACCCAGACACAAGGAAGACAGAAAAGGAGACAGAAAAGGAGAGAGGGTAACGAGGAGGAAGTGACTAAAATTCATCATACACGTGTATGAAAATCGTCCAAGAACTAAAAGGGAAAGAGCAAACCATATAAAAATCCTTTCCCAAACGAAAACAACGTGCTTGGGATCTCGGTGCAGCCGCTGCTGCGCGAACCTCTAGCTGTCCTCAGCGTGTCCGGCGGGACCCGCGGCTCCCCTGGCTTTCTTTTCCCTAGG